TCTTGTGTGAGTGACCTGACTCGTTGGACGCATTGCACTGCCTTCGGCTGTGCATGCGCGTGCGCAAAGCTGTCAGAGTCAAAACCTAAGGATCCTAAGCCCCATACCCTAAACCCCCTTAATCCTTAACCCTAGTACGTAGGACTCTATCTTGGGTCCTTGCTCTGTGAAGCTCGGATGCTGTGGGGGATGGTGCTGCCTTGGAGCTGATGTAGGTATGGTATAATATACCCCAAAGCCTTATTCTAATTATCAAGGCCCCTGCATTATGTAGTTGTAGGTTTAAGTTTCAGGGTGCAGGGTGGAGATTTTAGCGTCTTGGGTTCAGCTTTTCGGGTCGGAGTTTTTGGGTTTAGGGCTCGAGTTCTTGTTGATCCCTAAGCCCCAAGCGTTAAGCCCCTAAACCCTAGACCATGTTCAGCTTCTTGGAGGGCCTCTGCGCTCTTTGGGGTCTATAATTTTGATTGCTTAAAGGATCATGGGACTTAGTAAGTAGGGTTGTAACTAAGGCAACTATGCTTATAACCCCAATTAAGGGACTTATAACCTTACTAAGTCCCATGATCCTCCAAGTGGGGTTTCCTGAAGCTCCCGCCGTCGACCTGGTGCAGGCTATGTGCTGCCGCAGATCCTGATGACAAGCGAACTGTCCATGATGCCTCCCCTGAACAACGGGGGCGTCACCGCCTGGGTTGCCCGAGCATTCGGTGCCCGCGTCGGGGAGTGCGTTGGGCTGAACATGCTGCTGCAGCTCGGCGGAAATGGGTCCCATGACTGTCTTGAGCTTGCGTCTTCGTGTCAGAAGCTGTTGATCTACAGGGCTTCATGGGATGGCAGAGTCGCGGCAAGGTATCAGATTGTGGACCTGGCCACCTACACGACAGTCGTCACCGGCTATGCGCAGTCTGGCGGATACGAGGTGCGGCCCTGCACCAAGAACCCAGAACAATCCCAACAGAGCAGGACCACTGCTGTCACGGGAGAGCCGGGTTGTGGATAGTCGAACAAGCGGAGCAAACCGCATGCTCAAAGACCCTCCGAACGTTTTTGGGTTTTGAGGTTTTAGGACTTAGGTGTTTTAGGGCTTAGGGGTTTTGGGGTGACTAAGGAGGTTAGTCTTGATGTTTTGTCTCATTGGTTCAGGGTTTCGGGGTAAAGCGGTGTCTCCTTATTCTTGTATCCAAAGCGAGCAAGGCTCCCGCAGACCTTAGAGACGTATCGTATCCCGAAGGTAGGATGCTTGTGTTTCCGCACTTCGCTGGGCCGCAAGAGGTCGAAGCTTCAAGAAGGAGCAGACCCCAGAAGCCTACACCCTAAACATAGGGGCCTTAATAATTACCTGTACTATTTTGGGGGCTCCCTGTTAAAGCCATAGTATAATGGGCCCCAAAACCTTATTCTAATTATTAAGGCCCCTGCATTAGAGGCTGAAAGCCGAGCCAACGATCTGACAGATCCATGTCTCCGACAGTCCGACCCCGAAACTTAACAGAGAAAAAGCGCCTTCAAAAAACCCTAAGGACGCAAGGTCGTCAAAAGAACCGATCAAAAACACCGACAGGATCTTTGGCAGCCCTAAACCCTAAACCCTACCTACACTATTCTGGGGGTTCCTTGTTCTAACTATAGTATCATCGGCCCCAAAACCCTAAACAGGTGCCCTCGTGGCTGCCGGCCCTGGCGCCCTTCTTGGTCATCATGCTGGGCCTGGCAGTGCCCGAAGGGGGGGGGATTGGGCCGAAGGGTTCAAGGGATCAAGCCCTAAATCCTAAACCCCTAAACCCTTAACCCCTAAACCCCTAAACCCCTTAACCCCTAAACCCTAAACCCTAAGCCCCGAAATCACTAAACCGTAACCCCTAAACCCCAAACCCCTAAACCCTGAAACCAGGGTTTAGGGGGATTTGAGCTAGGGGTTGGCTGGGTTTCCGGACAGGGCTCGAGGTTTTGCCTCAGGACTCGGGTTTAACATGCGGGCCTTAATAATTACCTACACTATTTTTGGGGGTTCCTTATTTCAGGGTTTAGGGTTTAGGGTTTAGGGTTTAGGAGCTGTAGTATAATTGGCCCGAAAACCCCTATTCTGATTATTAAGGCCCCTGGATGAGGGTTGACGCTCCAGACTGAAAGGTATCTGGGTCTGGGCTGTGGAGACTTTGGTTGTGCCTCCTGCGCTTGAGTCAACAGATGGTCTGTGCATACATCCGAATTCCAAGACGGCCACATTGCCGTTTATGTTTCCTCAGTTTCCTCATTATACTCCGCGCTTGGAGGTGAACCTGCTGGCACTGGATGTGGCAACGGAGTTTCTGGGCGCTTCGCTACTTGTGGTGCTGCTGCACGACTGCATGTTTCGTTAGGTTGCAACCCAAATCAAGAATCTCTTGCAGGTTTTAGAAAAGGTAGGACGTCACGACATGCACATTCACGGAAGGATCATTGTCATGATGCGCCTGAGTCTTCGAGGCTCCCATTTGTGCTGGGTGTGCCGCTGGCGCTGGGCCACGCGTCCGTGGCCTGGGCTCTGGCCTCCGGTCAGCAGCCGGCGGTGATTTCGCCAGGGGGACCGGGAAGGGAGGGAAGGGAGGATGTGAACCTCTTCCTCTCATCCTTGGTGTGGCTCTTCACCGGCTGGGACTCCTTCGGAAACCTGGCGGAAGATGTGGCGGATCCTCTCCACCTCGTCAAGGGGATGCTGTCAGCAGCAGTGATCGCCTTGGCGGTCTACTTTGTCTGTACCTTTGGAGCTTTGGCGGCCGGTCCGGGGACATGGCAGGACGGATACCTGGCCTTGGCATATGCAAAACTTTGGGCCCCGCTGCTCGCCGGCAGGGGAAGAGGGAAGGAAGGACATTCCCGTGACTACCGACCCCAGGTTGGGACCATGGATTTGCTTCTCCGCTGCCTTCTCCAACAGCCTTATCTACACATCCGAGCTGGCAGCTTGTCATCATCTTGGGCAGTGGCAGTGACTGCCACCAATTCAGGTCGCACAGATCCGGCTTGGGACAAGCCGCGAGTTTAGGTGTAAGCTGGCTGCATGAACAGAAGTGCTTCAGGCTGTCACGAGCCGCTTCCTCCAGTCGCTAGGACTGCTTCGGGCCGGGCCGCTTGTTCCTGTCTGTAGCACATGTGCTAACGTCCGAGCCAGTTGTGCTTCAGGACGGAGCTCGAGCGACTTGCCGCGGCTTCTGCCAGGGGTGCTGCAGAAGGAACTCTCATCAGGAGAGGAAAGGGCCTCTTGATCTATGGCTCCATAATATTGTATGTACAATGTAAATGTGCATATACATATGAGTCTCTGTCTCTATCTCTAACTCTACGTCTATGTCCATGTCTATGTCTGTCTCTGTCTCTGCGTCTATCTCTGTCTCTATCTCTATCTCTATCTCTGTGTCTATCTCTATGTCTATGTCTATGTCTATCGCCATCTCTATCCGTATCTCTACTGTATCTCTATCCTACACACATTGTATGTATGTATGTATGTATGTATGTATGTATGTATGTATGTATGTATGTATGTACGTATGTATGTATGTATGTATGTATGTATGTATGCAGACATGTATGTATACGTGTGTATGTACATGTTCATCAATGTATATAGATGTGCTTGCAAAATTATATGCAGATATGGATATGGGGGTTTCCGAAAATAGGGGACCCCAATATAGTACCCTAAATACTAGGATCCTTATTATAAGGACCCCCCCAAAATAAGGTACCCTAATTTTTGGAAACTCCCATATGGGGTTTAGTGAGGAGCCCCGGCAGCAGCCTTGCTGGCCCTGACGTTGCTGCAGTCCGCCCTGGTCTTCCTGGCCTTCGCCTCTTTAGCCTTTGGAGATTAAGGTTTACTTAGAGGATCAGGGGACTTAGTAAGTAGGGTTGTAAGTACCCTAATTAGGGTGATTAGCAGATATAGCCATAGTTACCTTACTTATATCTCTACTTACTAAGTCCCAATAAGTCCCATGATCCTCCAAGTAGGCTTCGGGGCTTAGGGTTAACGGTTTGGGGTCCTAGACAAACCCTCGAAGGGCTGAGATCAAGCTGATGGTTCAGACATGATTGACCTTCCTGGTGCTAAACAGAAATAGGAGCCTCAGCAATCGGCAGAAGGTTGTCGCAGGGAATTCTCCGGTCTTGCTTCGTTTCGCACGGGTTCAGAGGTTTTGCGATTTTCGCTTCCAGGTCCAGGGGTGTTTGAGGTTTTCGAGCGGTCCCATTTTGCTAAAGCTTCGAGACTTTGGAGCAGGGTCGCAGTTGCAGCCAGCTACCAGGCTTAAAAAAGAGCCTTTACGTGACGACAGCTGCTGCCGAAAGACTTCGAAGTCGGGAGAGGGGTGCGGCTTCATAAAAATCAAGATGATCTAGTATACATTTGTCTATATATATATAATAGTTGTAATGTATATACATATATACATACATACATACATACATACATACATGCATGCATACATACATACGTACGACATACGTACGTACATACATACATACCTACCTACCTACGTACATGCGTACATACTTACATACATAC